GCCATGGCCAATGTCAGAGAAATTACTGCCTGTGTTCTCTTCTAGGATTTTTATGGTTTCAGGTCTCATTTTTAGGTCTTTAACCCATTTTGAATTTATTCATGCGTATGATGTAAGAAAGCAGTCCAGTTTCATTATTTTGCATGTAGCTGCCCAGTTTTCCCAACACCGTTTGTTGCAGAGATGGTCTTTTTCTCATTGGGTATGTGTGCTTCCTTTGTCCTAGATAAATTGACCATATGATTGTGGGTTTATGTCTGGATCTTCTATTCTGTTCCATTGATCTATGTGTCTAATTTTGTGTCAGGACCATAATGTTTTGGTTACTACAACTTTGTTGTGTATGTTGAAATCAGCTATTTTCTCCTCAGATACATGTTCTCCTTTTATCCTCTCTTCTTCTGGGATCCCTACAATGTGAATATTATTATGCTTGATGGTATTACTGAGTTCCCTTAATCTATTTTCATTTTTTATTATTCTTTTTTCTTTCTCCTGTTCAGCTTAATTGCTTTCCATTATTCTGTCCTCCAGGTCATTGATCCATTCTTCTGCTTCCTCTAGTCTACTATTTATTCTATGTAGTGTATTATTAATCTAAGTTGAGTTCTTCATCTCCGATTGGTTCTTTTTAAATGTTTTCTATCTCTTTATTGAGGGTCTGAGTTCCTCCATCCACTCTTTTCACAAGTCCAGTGATTATCTTTATGACCATTACTTCAAAAAAAATTTTAATGTTTATTTTTGAGAGAGACAGAACATGAGTGGGGGAGGGGCAGAGACAGAGGGGGAGACACAGAATCTGAAACAAGCTCCAGGCTCTGAGCTGTCAGCACAGAGCCCGACTTGGGGCTTGAACTCCAGAACAGTGAGATTATGACCTGAGCTGAAGTCGAATGCTCAAACGACTGAGCCACCCAAGCGCCCCTATGACCATTACTTTAAATTCTCTATCAAGCATATTACTTATCTCCATTTCACTCATGTCTCTTGCTGTGATTTTTGTCCTGTTCTTTTAACTGAGACATATTCCCCTAGCTCTCTGTGTCTGTTTCTATGTGTTACAAAAGTCAGCCATGTCTCCTCTTGAAAGTGGGGGCTTATTTTTTTTAATGTTCATTCATTTATTTTGAAAGAGAGAGAACACGAGCAGAGGATGGGGAGAGAAAGAGAGAGAGAATCCCAAGCAGGCTCCACGCTGCCAGCACACAGTCCAGTGCAGGGCTTGAATTCATGAACCTATGAGATCATGGCCTAAGCCAAAATCAAGAGTCAAGACGCTTAACTGACTGAGCCACCTAGGTGCCAGAAAGTGGTGGCCTTATAACGAGGTCCTGTTGTTCCCTCAGTGTAGTATCCTCAGTTTACCAGAATCTGGCACTTTAGGGGTGTCTCCTATGTGTGTCACATGTATCCTATTGCTGTAGCTGAGCCACATTTACCTCCAGTCTAGTCATCTGCAAAGGTTCTCTTTGCCTGTTCTGAGCAGATCTTGGTGCCTGTGTTGTTAGTGGGCTTTGTTCTGAGCAGAGCTTGGTGCCTGTGTTGTTAGTGGGCCAGTCTGGGGCTGTTTGGGGCTTGAGGGTTTGCCAGAGATGCAGTAGCACCAAACTTCAAGACACTCTCTTTGTGTTATTTCCTGAGAGGCTTTCATTGGTGGGCAGGGCCAGCAGTCAGACCAGATGTCAGCCCCCCACCCACTGCTGGGCCCAAGTTCGAACTGGTGTGTGTGGTTATCTTCCCATTCCCAGGGCAGGAGTCACTTTGAAGTGGTGCTGGCCCCTGTTGGAGGCACTTACACAGTCACGCTTGTGGCCCCACTTTGGAGAACTCCTGCCAGGCCAGGTTGGAGGGGCAAGATCCATAGGAGAATATGTGGGAAGGCATGCAGTGTGAGCAAGGTTTGCACTGGTCTGCAGTGGAAGAGGACCTGTAGCTACTCTAGAGAACAGCTGAGGGCAAGTCCACTGTTAGCAAGGGACTGGGCATACTGTCCTTGGCAAAGTAGGTGGAGAGTGTGCATACTGTGCTGGTTCTTGCAAGTATCTCTGCTGGGAGTCAGGGAGGGAAACGGTGCCCACCAGCTCTTTTGTTCTTGGAGAAGTCTCCCGCAGGTCCCTGCCCCTCTAACACACATTCTGAGATTAGCAAATAAATCCTCCTATGTATCCAAGGTGTTTTTCAAATTGCTGCTTCTATGCTATATCTCACCAGGGCTGTTTGTTATGCTGTCTCTTTAAGGGTGGGGATTCAGTTTCCTATCACTGTCCTTGCTCTCCCAGAGTTGAGCCTGCTGAATTTTTAAAGTTCCAGGTGTTAGGTGCCACTGACTTAAGAACTTGTGAAGTTAAGCCCCTCTGGCTTTTAAAGCCAAATATTATGGGGATTCATCTTCCCACTGTGGGTCTCCCATGCCCAGGATGCCTAGGGTGGGGTCTGCTCCTCTTCCTTGTCATTGCCTGTGGTGTCCCTCCCTCCAGCAGACAGTCTTGCAGGTCACTTTAGCTCCTGCCCACATCTTCACCCTTCCCATCCTTTTCAATGTGGTGGCTTCCCTACACTTAGCTGTGGACAGTCTGTTTTGGCAGTCTTCAGGTCATTCTCTGGGTTATTCACACTGATGTGGGTATTACCTAGGTGTATCTGTGGGACAAGGTGAGCTTAGGATCCTCTTATTTTACGATCATCCCAGGAGGTTTTTCCCTGGGTTTTCTTTTTATCTCTCATATACCACCATAATGGGCACTGGACAGCAGGCCTGCAACCAATAACGGGTGTGCGTGCGCATACACACACCTAGAGAAAGCTACTCTACCTAGCCAAAAGACCAGGAGCAGGGAAGCCCAACAGACTTAGTGGGATTCCTAGCACTTGCTCCACAACCTAGATCCTAGCAACAGTTTCATCAGCTGGCTGCAGAAGCGGCAAGAATTCTCAGTGACCGATCTACCACTAACAGCAGCAAGAGAAAGTCTCTTGATGTACAAGCTCCCACTTCACAACCAGGGCACTGGCTGACAGACTGATTCACCCAGAAAGGTACTATTAGCAGAGTGTTGCATCTCCCTGTGTCCTCTGCCCAGTGACATAAGGAAATCCATGCCCAGTGGCTTCTGTATCTCAGTGAAGCTCAATGTATCTCAATGGCTTCTGCCTCCCTCATCCCACACAAGGTAGCCCAGCTACACTGGGGATCCACAGTAGCTTTCTGTCTCTGCAGATATCACCATTGAGCAGGAGTCCCAGCAGTACCAGAATATAAAGCATATCAGAATAGTATTGAAAGGGCTCTGAAAACTAAGCTGTACAGCTAAAATTAAGCTGTACAGCTTTACTAAGCTGTAAAGACTACAAAAGTAGGCCAGATCTATGCACTAAACCTAACAGCAAGACTTCCTGCTAACATAGGAGATTTCAATAGATTTAAGTAGACTCAAGACTCTCTTGGGGTAACTGGGTGGCTCAGTCGGTTAAGCATCCAACTTTGGTTCAGGTCATGATCTCGTGATTTGTGAGTTCGAGCCCCACGTTGGGCTCTATGCTGACAGCTCGGAGCCTGGAGCCTGCTTTGGATCCTGTGTCTCCTCTCTCTGTTCCTCCCCTGCTTGCGCTATCTTCTCTCTCAAAAATAAATAAAGGTTAAAAAAATTAAAAGAAAAAAGACTCTCTTAACATAATAACTAAAATGTCTAGGATACAACAAGTCACTTGTCATACCAAAAAAAGGCATGGCCAGGCATCAAAAACTGATAGAAGAATGACACTTTAAAGGAAAACAAAACATTTAGGAGAGTAGGTATCATTTTTCTATGATTCCCTCCATATTAGTTTCTTAGAGCTGATATAACAAAGAACAAAGCTGATGTGGCTTAAAACAAGAGAAATATACTCTCTCACACTTCTGAAGCATTAATACTGAATCGCAGATATCATCAAAGACCTCTAATGTGTAGAATGGACCTGCCCTTGGCCTCCAGGACCCTACACTTTCCTAGATGACCTCCTTCCTTCCCAGTCATCCCTCTGCCATCTCTACTTCCTCAATGCAATTTTCTTTAACTTTACCAATTTCTAAGCAATCTTAATTTTTCCTACTATAACATTAGAACATAGTTCTTGATCCACTACTGTTAACACATAAAAAAAGGTATTCTTGTCACCCAGTAAAGCAACTCACAGGCATTTTTAAAAATTAATAAACACTCTATTGATTGTGTCCTTTAATGAATAGAAGTTTTTAAGTCTGGTGTACTCCCATTTATCTATTTTTGATTTGGTTATCTATACCTTGCTTGGTGTCATATCCCAGAAATCACTGCCAAATCCAATGTCATGAAACTTTTTCCCTAAGTTCTCTTCTAGTTTTGGGTCTTACATTTAGTTCTTTGATCCATTTTGAGTTAATTTTTATATATGGTATAAGGTATGGATCCAACTTTATTCTTTGGCATGCAGATATCCAGTTTTCCCTACACCATTTGTTAATGATACAGTCCTTTCCCCCACTGAATGGTCTTGGTACCCTTGTCTGAAATCATCTGGTCATATAGCTGAGGGTTTATTTCCAGACTTTCTATTCTATTCCACTGCTCTATATGTCTGTCTTTATGCCAGTACTACTACACTGTTTGTTTACATAATGCTGTAATTAGGGTTTTTAAAAATTTTTTTTAACATTTATTTATTTTTGAGACAGAGAGAGAGAGAGAGCATGAACAGGGGAGGATCAGAGAAAGAGGGAGACGCAGAATCTGAAACAGGCTCCAGGCTCTGAGCTGTCAGCACAGAGCCCGACGCGGGGCTCGAACCCACGGACCGCGAGATCATGACCTGAGCCGAAGTCGGACGCTTAACCGACTGAGCCACCCAGGCACCCCTGTAATTAGTTTTGAAATCAGATTTTCCCTAGTGTGTCTAAAATCACTTTCCCAGCGTAACATTCTGACCACTTGGCCTACTCCTTGGAACAGCTTCCTGCTTCCTGATCATTGCTCACTCACCTGGGCACTGTTCTCCTGTCACTTCCCTCACAACCATCCAGGGCTCCTTCCCTTGCTCTAATGAAGAGATCACAGCCGGCTTAGAAATAGAAAGTCCTGGTTATAAGAAAAGAAATGGAGATGAAGTGGAAATCAAAGTACCCAAATACTATGATTCAGAACTGATCAAAATAAATAAACTATAGTACAACATGGCACTTGATAAACTCTACAGAAGAAAAAAGAAAAAATTAAACACTCATATTTAGGTAAACTCAAGATTTAAAAAAAACACAAACAAATAGGTGATAAAATGCTGCTTAAATTAGATAAGATTTCTGTCCCTACTTTGCTATGAGGAAAAAAAAAAAAAGAAAACAGCTTCCTGAGTATCCTTATTTCAGATATTTTTCAATGATATGTGAAAAGTTCTTAGACTGTAACTCCCAAATGCAAATTGTTTAAAAGACAGCACATTAGTTGTAGGAAATGGAAGTGTTCATTTGAGCACTAAATAGTAAGTGATACTTCTTGATGCAGCCCATTGCTACATTAATTGGGAAAGCTATTTAGTTTTAACCTATGCTAGGGCACCTGCAGGTTTAGTACAGTGCAAATGAAAACAAAAGATGAAGTGGTGACCACTGAACTAATTAATAATTAATTAATATTAAGTTAATAGTACAGAATTCCAATTCTGTTCTTTAATTATCAAGGAAGAATGTCAATTGTAAGTACCAGAGGAAGGTGTAAGGATGGGGAAAAGGGAAAATGAATGTGCACCTCTATCTAGGTGTGCTCATTTCTCTGCAAAGAGAAAAGTCACCTAGTTATTTGAAAAGTAGCCCTAAAATGCATGGGAAAGAAAGCAGAAAACAAGAAACCAAGAAACACATTCTAAATTATAAGAGGCAGATAATTTTACCCAGTGAAACCAAGTTGCTATAGTTCTCCAACATCACATCTTTGTACAAACTCCTCTGCGTAGGGTTCAGGCATTCCCATTCCTCCTGAGAGACATCTATAGCCACATCTTTGAACATCACCAACCCCTAAAATGACAAATCACAGTACTGTTTTTGAAATTATAAGAAATATTTTTCAAAAGGAAGGAGAGGTGCTAAAAGAAAACATGCAAGACAGGAGTAGTGTATATAGTGGATAGTGAGTATATAGGCAAAGGTTGGAAGCTTGTAACGTGTCAAAAAGGGATTCAGGGCACCTGGGGGCTCTAGTCGGTCAAGCGTCTAACTTCAGCTCAGGTCATCATGATCTCACAGTTCATGTGTTCAAGCCCCCTCATTGGGCTCTCTGCTGTCAGCACAGAACCGCTTTGGATCCTCTGCCCCGCCCCTCTCTGTCCCTCCCCTGCTCATGATCTCTCTCTCAAAAATAAACTAAAAAAGGGTTTAGTGGGACTAACGTGGAGTGCCTACAGGTTCTTAAAAATTCAATTTCTGCAGACACATCCCTTACACAGGGTGGAAAACTGTTAGTCATCTAGAAATTTAAAAAATAAGTAGAGGTTCCCAACTAAGTTAAATAGCTGGAAATTTTTTAATCTTTCCAGATGTGTCATGAACACCTCCATCTTGAGAAAAAGGACTTGAAGATTTTTCTTCATTATTATGATATCATGTCATAAGCATTTTTTACTTTTCAGGCAAATTCTTTAGTAAATATCTAGTATAGCTTGTATTTTCCAAGGATAGATAGAACAACATTTCCCATCCCATATGCTCTTCTTCAGTGTAATCTGGACATGCCCCCACACCACTTGTATAGGAACTATGTTTCTGCCCTTGAACCGGATCCTGAGAAAACAAGTTAACTTACTCAACTTAAAGTATAGCAGAAATGACTTCTGAAGCTAGAATATAAAAATGTCTCCCTATCCAGTGAGAACCTACACCAATTCCTATAATGTAGATTTGAAAAAGTAAAAATTGTGGAAAAATTTGAAGATTTCTCATGTGTGATTCAATTAACCATTTTTCCCTGACAACAGCACTTCCGGTGAGGACATCTTAGCTGTGTGGCTGGTTTTTCTCCTACAGTCTTACTCTGCTCTCAATCTCACATTGTCCTCTCTGCTCCTCAGTGCTGGTGCCAACAACTGTCCCTCCTTCTCTAAAATCTAATGTCGTCATTTTATCAGACTATACATGCATTATTTCTACTTATTATAGTGATTAGCTGACATCTGGCTTTTTCCCCCCTAGGAATTTTAGCTCCTGGCTCAGTGCCACTATCTCCAATACTACTCCTATATTAATTCTCAGTAATTTCAAATATCTATGTAAGTATTCCAAATATTAACCTGGCCTCCCAATTCTCTCACCTCCTCTCCAATGATCTTGCCTTCCACTCTAGTTTACTCTTCAGGTCACTACCCTAGTAACTGCAACATCTCCAAAATATCAGTGTCCTTCTCTCTGGTCACCTTTATTATTATTTTTTAATGTTTTATTTTATTTTAGGGAGAGAAAGCAGGGGAGGGGCAGAGAGAGAGAGGGAGACAGAGGATCCAAAGCAGGCTCTGCACTGACAGCAGAAAGTCCAATGTGGGGCTCAAACTCACCAATGACGGGATCATGACCTGTGCCAAAGTCGGACGCTTAATCGACTGAACCACCTAGCTAGGCGCCCCGCCTTTTTTTTTTAATTATTTAATTTCTTTTGAGAGAAAGAGAGAGACAACATGCGTGCATGAACAGGGGACGGGCAGAGAAAGAGGTAGAGGAAATTCCAAGCAGGTTCTGTGCTGTTAGAGTGCAATCTCTGGTCACCTTTACATTGTCACTCACCCCACTCATACCTCTTCTCTTCTTACCCAACTTAAATTCTATGTTCAACTAATCATCTAACTTCATAATGACTGCTAAGATGAACTTCCTTTTCATACTTGCTTAGCAAAGCCTGAATCCTACATAAATCTAACTCTCTTCTTACTCTGTCACTGTATCTATGTAGCCAAACATGACTAGAGAAAATAACCAACCTTAATGACAGGTTTTCATTTTTATATTTTATTTTCCTTTCTTAAATGGTTCAGAACAACAACAACAAAAAAGATAAACATTCAGAGGTCTTATTCCCAACCCTTTCCTTTCCATTGTCTCCCACCTCCTAACCGCTATAGATGAGCAATTTTATAAATTTTTTTTGTATGTCTTTGCAAAGTTTTTAAGCAATTATAAATACATATGTGTGTATTATTTTTCACACTTTTACACAAAAGGTAACATACTATAATATATACATTGTTCTGTATTTGATTTTTGAATTCTAAGGTTAATGGTTTCCTTATTTTCCTATAGGTACTTATCACCCATTTTTTGTATTTATCATAGTTTATTTAACCAGGCATCTATAAATGGACAGTTGGTTGTTTCTAATCTTTTGCTATAATAAGCAACAGTGCAATGAATACTTATATAAAAATGTCATTTTGTATATACACAGATATATCTGTAACAGAAAATCTCAGAAATCAGATTGCTAGGTCAAAATGGAAAATGCACTTGTAATTTTGGTAGATGCTATCAAATTTGCCCTCCACAGTGGCTGGACGATTTTCTCAGATACCAGCAATATATGAGAGTACCTGTTTCCTCACAGCAAAGCCAGCAAAGTGTTTTGTCAAAATATTTTGTTTTTATCCATTTAATAAGGTAAAGAAATTGTATGTCAGTAGAATTTTATTTGGTATTTCTTGAATTATTTATTGAGTATTTTTTTTTAAGGGCTTTTTATGTTTCTTTTCCTGTGAAAATTCTGTTCATATACTTTGACTCTATCCTACTGGGCTGTTGGTCTCTTTTTTAAATTTCTTAGTCTTTATAGGGGTGTCTGGGTGGCTCAGTTGGTTAAGCGTCCGACTTCGGCTCAGGTCATGATCTCATGGTTTGTGAGTTTGAGCTCCCCGTCAGGCTCTATGCTGACAGCTCAGAGCCTGGAACCTGCTTTATATTCTGTGTGTGTGTGTCTCTCTCTCTGCCCCTCCCCCACTTGTGTGCACTCTCTCTCAAAAATAAATGTTAAAAAAATCAAAAAATAATAAATTTCTTAGTGTTTATAAAATAGATAAGTTTAGCATCTGTACATGAATTGTAAATACTTTCCCAATTTTGTAATTCTCTTCTGACTTTGCTTACCAGTGTTTCTTGCCATACAGAAGTTTTTTTATTTTTATGTAGTCAAACTTGTTAATACTTTCTCTTTTAGTTCCTACAATTTTGAGTCTTAGTTAGGCAGTCCTTCCTCACATCAAAGTTATGAAGGAATTCTCCCATGTTTTAATCTGGTAATGTTATAATTGCATTTTAAAAACTTAAATGACTCAATTTAATTGGAGCTTATCCTATATGGTACATGAGATAAAGACTGGGCTTATTATGTTCCAACATGGCTACCTAGCTAACCAATACCATTCATCAAGTCTATCTTTAACCAAGGAGGTAAAAGAACTGTACCGTGGAAACTGTAAGATGCTGATGAAAGAAAAGTGAAGAAGACACATCTGAAAAGATATTCTATGCATAAGAAAATGGAAGAATTAACATTGTTAAAATGTCCACACTACTCAAAGGAATCTACAGATTCAATGTAATCCTTCAAATCCCAGTGGCATTTTTCACAGAAATACAACAAACAATCCTAAAATTTGCACAGAACCACCAAAGACCTCAAATAACCAAAACAAGCTTGAGAAAAAGCAACAAAGCTGGAGACATCACATGTCCTAATTTCAAACCACATTACAAAGCTATCGTTATCAAAATAGTATGGTATTGGCATAAAAATAGACACACAGATCAATGAAACAGAACAGGGAACCCAAATACCACATACAGTCAATTAATTTATGACAAAGGAGCCAAGAATATACAATGAGAAAAGGACAGTCTCTTCAATAAATGGTGATGGGAAAACTGGACAGCCATATGCATAACAATGAAACTGTAGCACTATCTTATACCATACACAAAAATCAACTCAAAATGGATTAAAGACTTGAATGTAGAACCTGAAACTATAAAAATTCTAGAGGCAATCATACAGGTAAAGGTACTTGACACTGGTTTTGGTGATGATTTTTTTGGATTTGAAGAGCAAAGAAGAGCAAGAGCAGAAGAAGAGCCAGAAGAGCAAAGGCAACAAAAGCAAACATAAACAAATGGGACTATATCAAACTAAATACCTTCTTTATAACAAAGGAAACCATCAAAAAGAGGAAAAGGCAACTTACAGGGAGAAAATTTTTGTAAATCATGTATCTGATAAGGATTTAATATTCAAAATATATATAAAGGACTCCTACAACTCAATATCAAAAGAAAATAAATAATAAATAATCTGATTTAAAAATGGGAAGAGGAATCAACAAAACTAAAAGGAAATTGATGGAATGGGAAAAGATATTTGCAAATGACATATCAGATAAAGGGTTAGTATCCCAAAGCTACAAATAACTTACCAAATTCAACTCCCAAAAAAACAAATAATCCAGTGAAGAAATGGGCAGAAGACAAGAATAGACACTTTTCCAAAGAAGACATCCAGATGACCAACAGATACATGAAAAGATGCTCAGTCCCTCATCATCAGGGAAATACAAATCAAAACCACACTGAGATACCACCTTATACCCGTCAGAGTGTCTAAAATTAACTCAGGAAACAATAGATACTGGCAAGGATATTATGAAACGGGAACCCTCTTGCACTATTGGTGGGAATGTAAACTGGTGCAGCCGCTCTGGAAAACAGTGTGGAGGTTCCTCAAAAAATTAAAAATAGAACTACCCTATGACCCAGCAATAGCACTACTAGGAATTTATCCAAAGGATACAGGAATGCTGACTCACAGGGCACATGTACCCCAATGTTTATAACAGCACTTTCAACAATAGCCAAATTATGGAAAGAGCCTAAATGTCCATCCACTGATGAACGGATAAAGAAGATGTGGCTTATATATAGAATGGAATACCACTTGGCAATGAGAAAGAATGAAATCATGCTATTTGGGGCAATGTGGATGGAACTGG